TAAGTAAGCGAATTTATTTGTATAAAAATGACATAAGTAGCAGGGTATAATAACTGAAAAGGATCACTGGGCCGACCCTGAATAAAGATGGCCGCCGAGCTTCCTCCAGGCTTCAGCGGCAGTAAAGTCACCTGTCTGCTCCTCCAATGAGGCCTTTCGTGCAATGGCAACTTCTTCAGAGGAGGAACACGACTAGCGTGACCTAGACTAGACGTGTTATAACTACCGCCGCCATTTTTGTTTGGAGTTGCTCGCACTGTGCAGTAAAGTCACATGCTGTCTGGGCTCCTCCTGAGGCCTTTCGTGCAATGTCTTTATGGAGCGGAATATAAAGCCCGGTCGCACCATCTGGGCTCAGTCAGCGCAGGAACTCACCTGTGGAGAAGCCACTGACAGCCGGCCATTCACCGCAGCGCTTCTCGAGCATGCGCAGTGGGCACCTGGCTAAAGTAACATTAGGAGAAAAAATTCTGTCATTCAGAATATTTTTTTTCTTGTTTTTCTCCTCTAAAACCTGGGCGCGTCTTATGGTCAGGTGCGTCTTATGGAGTGAAAAATACGGTACATAAAATAAATATGAATGAAACTTCAAATGTAAACAGGTATGTCTTGGGAGGACAAGACGTAAATGATATGTATCATAAAATGCAGAAATTATTGAAAATATAATATTAATCATAAAAAACTACACATATGTAAAAACGGGGAAGCCAATGAGGTGCAGGTAAATCTTATGTGTAAACACATGACAAAATGTCGTAATATAATAATGGCCTCCCATCATACACTGAAAGTAAATATATGAATCAGGATCACCTCTAAAATCATAAACCAGCTAAAATATATATACCAATATAACGTGCATAAATCCATAATACAATAGCATAGTATAATATTAGCCTCCCGTCAGAAAACTCAAAATAAATATATGAATCAGAATCACCATTAGAGTCATAAACCAAAAAATTGGAAGAACATAAATACTATCCAGACCAGTAAAATATACAGAAATGGTATGAATCCTCAAAAAATCAAAAGGAGTGAGTATAAGCCGAACACGAATATCATAGTTATAGGTGGACAACTGTAGTTTCAGCTGTTGGCAATAAAGCAATTAATATCTACTTCAATATTCAACCCCAATGGGTGCAAGGTATTCAATTCGAAAACCCACTTCGTCTCGGCCTGTGAGATGGCCCTAGTTTTATTAATACCTCTCCAATGTGGTCTAATAGTGTCAATTCCCATAAATTTCAAAGAAGAAGGGTTCCTTCTGGTGGTGTATCCTGTAATAATTGGATAGAGAGTGTTCTCTATATCACTTTTTAATATTCGCCACATGTTGGTCATGTAGCCTTCTGGTCGTACGGCCCACATACTGTTTGCGGCAGGGACATTGCAACAGGTAAACTACATATCTACTGGAGCAAGAGATACATTTGTTAATCTTATATGTCTTTCCGGTTGTGTGGGAGGTGAAAGCATCCACTCTGTGTTTACGCGTGTGGTTGCAGTTGCATATGATGCATCGATTGCAAGGGAAGAACCCATGAAGGTCAGAGAACAATGAAATCGTTCTTGGGGGGTCGACCACATTGGGGGCTAGGGTGTGCCTAATAGTCGTGGCTTTACGAAAAATTATTTCTGGCCTTTCCGGGAGGATGGTAGATAAAACTGGATCTGCTTTTAGGAGATTCCAATTATTTTTAATAATATTACTCAAAGCCTTAAACTGAATAGAGTATGTGGAAATGAACGGGCAAACTTTAGGGTTTGCTGGTCTAATCTTATCTTGTAACATACCCTTCCGGTCCATATTGCCAACCATATTCATGGTACTAGCCAGTATTTTGTCGTCATATCCCTTTTTTTTCTAAGAAACAATTTTTTAGGGCATTAGCCTGTGTAAAATAAGTTTCAAAACTTGTACAGTTGCGCCTTATTCTCATAAACTGGCCTTTCGTTATGTTTGCTAGCCAGGTACGGTGGTGGCAACTGTCGTTAGGGATATAGCTATTACGATCAGTGGTTTTAAGAAAGGATTCTTTTTTGATTTTACCAGTATTATTAATCAGTGTCAAGTCAAGAAAATGAATACTTGATTTACTGTATGTATATGTTAACTTAATATTCAAGGTATTATTATTTAATGTCCCAAAGAAATTAATAAGGGACTCTTCATCTCCCTTCCATAACATGAAGATGTCATCTATATATCTCTTATATGTAAGTAATGCCGGCCAGTCTCTACTATATATTATGTCGTCCTCCCACCGACATAAACAAGTTCGCCAGACTGGGGGCAAATTTTGTCCCCATCGCAACGCCTTTGATTTGCAAAAAATAGGCTTGGTTAAACCAAAAATAGTTGTGTTGCATGGCGAATTCTAACAGGCCCAAAATGAAGTTGCGTTGTGCTAAGGGTAAAGTGCTGTAGTGCATTAAAAAAAACTCTGCAGCCTCCATGCTGTCTAAGTGGTTAATATTAGTGTATCAAGAGGTAACGTCTGCCGTTACCAAAAATGTATCTGATGTAATATCAATCTTATTCACCACATTAAGCACATGTTTGGTGTCGCGAAGGTAGGAGGGGGTTTGTGTTACCAATGGCTGCAGAAAAAAAATCTACATATTCACCTATTTTTGAGCACAATGACCCGATGCCACTAATTATGGGTCTCCCCGGTGGTTTTAGTGGATCCTTGTGAATCTTGGGGAGGATATACAATATCGGAAGTTTGGGTGCCATTGGAATGAGGAAGGCTCTTTCTTTCTTATTTAGGATTTGCATATCATAGCCTCGATTGACAATGTCTTTCAATGATCTCTTAAAAGTTAACAAAGGATCTTTGGGCAGGGGAATAAGTGGTGTGGTCACTGAGAATATGATTAACTTCAGCCACATAGTCAGATTTATCCAGGATGACCACCCCTCCTCCCTTATCCACCAGCCTGATTACCAGGTCTTTTTTATCCAAAAGTGACTTCATAGCCTTATAGTCACCTGACCTATCATAGGGACGCTTGATAGGCAAATTAGCCAAATCGTTAAGAATTTTTAGGAATGTGCTTGTGGGGGTGGGTTGTAGGTGGATGTGTTCTGCAGATTTCAGTCAATATAAGTATCTGTATTAGAGACACTGGAAATGGGGTTTGTGGTAAAATACCTTCTTAAGGATAATTGTCTGGTGAATTTATGCACGTCGATAAACGCTTGGAACTTAAGTTTATTAGCGGGTGCGAACTTGAGACCTTTATCTAATAGGCATAATTCTTCCTGAGTTAAGTTGTTATAGGATATAGGATTATAACTGCTGAACAGTCCTGAGTTGTCTTTGTCATGTTTTTCATTTCAAAATGCACCAAATATTTTCAATTGGTAAAAGGTCTGGACCGCAGGCAGGCCAGGTAAACATCCAGACTCTTCTACTACGAAGCCATGCAGTATGTGGTTTAGCATTGTCCTGCTGAAAAATGCAATGTCTTTACTGAAAAAGACATTATCCGGATGGGGACATATGCTGCTCTAAAACCTGGATATATTTTTCAGAATTGATGTTGCCTTTCTTGAAGTAGACTTTTGAATTGAGCGCTGATAATAAGCCTAAAGGTCCCTTTCCTGTTTTCTTTGGAGGACCCAGCACCAGTGGTGTATTTAGATTTTTTGCTGCTAACAGACCATTACAACAGACAATTTTAAATGAGGTTTGGCCCAGAGAAGACAGCAGCGTTTAGGAATCTTGCTCAATTATGGTTTCTGCTTTGCCTGATAGAGCTTTACCTTTCATTTTTGGACGGCGTAGCGAACTGTGTTCAGATTTTTTGGAAGTATACCTGAGCCCATGCAGTGGTGTCTATCATAGAATCATGCCTGTTTTTAATGCAGTGCCATCTGAGTGTCATGGGCATCCAATATTGCGTTTGGACCTTTCCCTTGCTCACAGAGATTTCTCCTGATTTTCTGAATCTTTTGATATTATATACTGTTGATGATATATTTAATGTCTTTGCAGCTTTACATTGAGAAACATTACTCTGAAATTGTTTTAAGAATTGTTAGATGCATCTTTACTCCGGAGACACTCTTGACTCTTTTTAGGTCATGTTTGTGACTTTTTACCAGTTATCCTAATTAGTTGCAAAATGTTCTTTCAGCTCTTCCTTCTACCACTTATTTTGCCAGCTTTTTATTGCCCTGACTCAACCTTTTTTGAGACATGTTGCTGCCATCAATTTTTAACATGACCTTATTTATTTCTTAAAATTAAGCATTTTCTCAGTTGATGTTTTCTATTTTCTATTGTGAAGAAAATAAAAGGTTTGAGATTTGTAAATAATTTAATTCTGTTTTTTTTTGTAGATTTTACGCAGCATCCCAACTTTTTTGGAATTGAGGTTGTAGTTTATATAGAATATTTAACTATAGGATGGGCTTATTTTGTGTAAATCACATTAATTGCTCTCATGAGAGTAGTGTGCAGTAGTGTAGTGTGTATGTGTGCCTGTGGTGCTTTACAGTTTCAGCATATGCTGACACCTAGTGGTTTGTTATGTATTCTGCAGAGCAGCATACCTGAATGTGTATTTGTAGAGGTGTGACTGACTGGTAATATACCTCACTGAGCGAAAGGCAGCAATGATTAAATAAAATAGTGAAGTATAGTGGTGCGATCACATAGCTTGCTATACTTTCGTGCTTGCTTCTGCATCACTAACTAGCCAAATAAAAGCTTCAATATTCTCAATTTGGAAAAGGCAAATGATTTTTTAAAAAGAAACCCAAATTTTTATCTAGGTATTTTTTTTAAGTCACTAATATGTGAAAAATAATCTTTCCAAAAGTCCCCATCACTGCTGCAGTAGAATACTAAGGTGGCAAGGGAAAAAAGTTCACAATGTTACTAAATGGTGACCTTACTAAACTAAGAAATCCTATTGTTACCTTATTGTGGAACTAGTTTTTATGGTAACATTTAACTTGACAATATCTTGTATTGCAGTACAAATGGGCATTGCTTTGCAATAATTGAGGAAGATGAACATGGAGAAACTGCAACAACATCTGGTTGCATGAAGCTTGAAGGCTCAGACTTTCAGTGCAAGGTAAGAACATCCATCTTATGTAAGTTCATTTTGGAAGCTTTAAGTGTGTGTAGAATACGGTTACCATTTTTGAAGAGACAATAATAGATTTATTTTGTGTTTCTACACTTTTGTGTTAGCATTTTTGGGATTTACATTTGTTTGCAAATCTGGAACATTAAAAAGGCATTTTTTTCTATTTTGTGCATAGGATTCTCCCAAGGCACAGTTACGGAGGACAATTGAATGTTGCCGAACTGATTTCTGTAATAAGGATTTGCGACCAACATTGCCTCCAGATGGCAGGGCAGGTAAAATACTGATCATATATATGCAAGAAGCCTTTCTAAAATGTTTAGTTATTAAAGCAAGAATAACAAAACAAATAATGGGACTTTTAAGGTGTGCCCCCCCCCCCCCCTCGGTAGGTTGCACAACATATGTTTTTTGTCTCCACTGATTAATAAAGTATAAGCATTTTCTGTGTATAATTTACTGAAGGGGTCACAGCTTAAAAGTCCCGTTATTTGTTTTCTAATATTTTCTATATATTTGGGATGTGGTGTGGATGGTTTATCCTCAACTAGACCTGATGCATATTAGTTATTTGATAAAGCAAGTTTTAATCGTAAGGCAAAACTTACAGTGCCATTTAAACTCAAAAGCAAACCTTTGTTATGCAGCAGCTTATCAATTTATAGATGTGAAGGCTGTATTAGCTTTCTTTTTTATGTTTTATTTTTGCCTGGTGATCCTGCTTTTAAGTCTGCAATTTTCGGCCCTGGAAATCCATTCCATGAAGCTCTCTACGCACTCTTGTTCTTCTGAAGGCCAGATGAAGTTTGGAGGTCTTTAGCTATTTACTCTGCAGACAGTTGGCGGCTTCTGCACACTTCGTACTTCAGAATGCGCTGAACCCGCTCTGTCCTTTTATGTGGCCACTTAGTGGCTGAGTTGCTTTTCTCAGTTGCTTCCACTTTGTTCTAATACCACTAACAGTTGACCATGGAATATTTAGTAGCAAGGACATTTCACGGATGGACTTATTGCACAGGTGGCAACCTATCACGGTACCACGCTTGAATTCACTGAGCTCCAGAGAGCGACCCATTTTTTCACAAATGTTTGTAGAAGCAGTCTGCATGCCAAGGTGCTTGATTTTATACACCTGTGACCATGGAGGTGATTGGTGCACCTGAATCCAGTGATTTGGAGGGGTGTCCCAATACTTTAGGCAGTATACTGTGTGTGTGTGTGTGTGTGTGTGTGTGTGTATAGATTAGATATGGATTGATTATATATTGATATACATGACACCCAAAAATATAGCTTTGCTCTTAAGGTTTTTCTTTGCCACAATGCATTATCTGCATTAGGGTAAAAAATGTGTGCAGCTGCCCACTAGACCCCCCTTTTAGACCTGCCCGATCTTGATCCAGCGAGGGGTGGGGCTTGTCTATAAACACACACAGCCAGCTCGGGAATGTGTCTGCATGAGTGACCCCATAGCAAGCAGCTTGTTACGGTGGTCACTTGGCCCAGGGGAGGAGCCAGGAGTGATGGAAAGTAACTTGAAAAGAGGAGGATCCAGGCTGCTTTGTGCAAAACCCCTGTACAGAGCAGGTAAATATGATGTTTTGTTTAAAAAAAAAAAAAAAAAAAAAATGGGTTTGCAATCACTTTAAGTGATTGTAAACCTGTGATTATATTTTGTTCTCATTTATTAAGGAACACAGGATTCAGGGACAGTTGGGTTATACTGCTGCCTACAAGAGGATTTGGACACTGGCAAACAAAATAGGGAGCAGGCGGGTTTAACCCCTCCCACTCCCAGCACGCCTTATTTATTTTCTAGTGTCCTAGGGGAATAGATATGTTTCTCTATTGAAAATAGTTTAACCATAGTTACTAGCCTTTTTTTCTTTTTCTCAAGATCATTTGATTAAACAAGACTTGCTACATGCTGCTTGAGCTAGCCAACTTGTGCAGCTATCCGCATTGGAACATCCTCACCAATAGCTTTGGTCCTGCATGAAGGAAGATTGCAGTAACTGTGTTCTCAGCAGACCGCTTTCCAGGTTCAAACGCGTCGCACATTCTCTGGTGTGACCTAGTCTTTGATGACTTATGAGTAGGCCATATAGGCTGAGCATTGGGAGATACTTCAGTCATTTAAAACCATTCAGTGCCATTATTAACATCCCTCCCCCTTCACTTGGCCTTAAGTAAAGGGGTTTTCATACTAAGGAATTAAGAGCTGTGTCCCTAGGTTGAAAGTTGCATATGTACACTCTGCACTCTGTTCCTGCCTCTCAGCCTGAGGTTGCATCTTTCTACTGCTGCTCCCACTCGCATGAAACATGGGTTCTACCTCAGTTAGTTCTTGCAGTGACCTGGCTACCTTAGGCTATTGAGTCTCTGCTGATTTTTTGCACTTCTTTTGTGAGTACCCTAAACCTTTATTTGGTACTCAAAGCCAAGTTAGTTCGGAGCAGTCCTGCTTCATCAGGTTTCTCCAGCTAACGATCCTCTTAACACCTCCATGGTGGCCTGCAGTGCTCTCTCTCAAGGGCCTGACCTGAACAGTCTAGGCTAATGCACCCTGCTTGAGTCCCTATATTGCATTGAGTCATCCTTCACTCCATTGGTTAAAGCTTCTGCTTTCTCTATCGGAGTTACTTGTAGCAGTAGCAATCTTTGACCTTTCCGTTGTAGAAGATCTGATGAAGAGTTTCACAGATCTGTAAGAAAGATTTTGTTTGCCGTGGAGTCACAGGTAGCTGCCATAGCACCAAGTCTTAAAGAAACTGTATTGTATGGTGCAGAATACCTTAAAAATGAAAGAGCAGCCTGTAGCCTCTACTAATGCATTTACTAGCCTAGTTTTTTTTTTGTTTTGTTTTTTTTTTGTTTTAAAGATATCTTTTTGCCACAGGTTTTTTTTTTTTTAGAAAATTAAGAAAGTAAATGAAAACCTTTTTTTTTTTTTTTTTTTTTTTTTTACACACAGCTTTTAATAAGATATTTCTCACAAACAACATGGACATACTTAGAATCACACCCCAAAACACTCTGCTACCACATATGTGAGACTTGTTTGCAGCTTAACCGCATAGAGGAGCTGATATTCCAAGGAGCACCTTCAAGCTTTCAAAGGGCGTAAATAAGGCATCTAATTTCCTGACTACCTATCACACAGTTGGACAGTAGAAACCCCCACAAAAGGACTGCATTTTGGAAAGTAGACACCCCCAAGGCCAGCAGGGTATTTTATTAGAGGCATAGTGTGTCTTTTGAAGATTCCTCTTTTCTGCCATAACTTTGTGAAAAATGCAGACAGTAAAAATGTTTTTTGGTTTTTATTGTTTTTGGGTTTTTTTTTAACAGAACGTTGTCAATTAATAAAATATTCTTAACACACAGTATGTGTATACTTAGAATCACACCTCAAAACACACTCTGCTGCTACTCCCGAGTATGAGAATACCACATATGCAAGCATTTTTAGCAGCTTAGTCACACAGAGGGGCCCAAAATCCAAGTAGAACCTTCAGGGTAAGCTGGGGCAGTAAATGATGCATCTAATTTCCTGACTACCTATCACATTTTTTTGGAGTTTCACATGTGAGACTTTTTCAGTGTTTGGGCTGATTATCTATTGGACATTGTAGCATGTGTATCACAAAAATCAAATAATATTGTATCAAAAACTGTACTGTAATGCTTGACTCTATATGAGTGGTCGGAGAATATATCTTGGTGTAGTGTCACCTGTAGCAGTCTCCATTCCCATAAGACAAGCAAGCCTTGCCAATTGGCACATGGCTGTCCCCAGGCATGCAATCTCCACTTGCCAGGAAGTTTAGTAGTGTGAACACAAAGTTTCAGTGTGGTTCCAGGAGTGCAGTTTTCTGCAGTGGGTACCTGAGGCTGCTGTCTCGCAGGAATGTAGTCAATGGGAAATGCAGATGGGTCAATTCAGGTGGCAGGCAGAGAGTTGGTCCATGAAAAGGGTAGTTCCTGGCAGCAAATAGAAATGTGGTCTGTAAACAGGACAGGGTGCAGTAAAGGTAGCAGACAGAGGCAACACTGCCGTGATCAGAAACACTGCTTTTGGGCATGCTGTCTCTGGTGACACTGTACTGATGTGGAAGCCATCAGGGACACAGTTGATCAGTTGACGCTGATGTTAGTTACTCATGTATTTAGGCTTTCTGTGCAACTTCGGTTTTATGTTCCTGCATTTTTGTTTTATGTAGTTTTTAGATCATTCATGTGTAGTAGAAACTATAACATTGATTTATTTTTTGATCTTTACAGAAGGAATATTTGGCAGAAGTGCACACCTCATCGCTTTTATAATATCCTTTGTAGTCTGCTTGTTTATCATGGCTGTCTTCATCTTTATCACTTGCTTCTACAAGTAAGAACATTTTTCTTTTTAATATTATATCATTGGTCTGTATCCTTGTTGGAAAAATTTTAACCCATTTCTTTTCCCAGTGGCACGATGCAACACCTGTACAGTAAGTAAAGGGAAATTGTGCTAATGAGAACACAAATGGCTGAAAAACTTAAGCAGCTCTCACCTTCTACTACTCCATACAAATTGTATTTTATCTGTTTAAAAAAATAAGTTCACCTTTTGTAATATGTTACACCCATATTCAGGTTGCAACATGTTACGTAAGCACTGCACCCTGCAATCCCCATTGTGACAGCTAGCAGGGGATCTTCTCCCCATGCTAGCTGTCACAATATGAAAAAAACCCACGGCCGTTTGTTCTGTGAATGGGATAACTAAAAGTTCCGACAACCTTTGCAGCTGTTGGCTTGTAGTTCTCATTGAACTACCAGGGCACTGTTGAGCACTCTAGGTAGTTTGTTGAGTTCCTGTCAGAGGTACGGGCAGACAGCTGCTCATACAGTCTGTAGGACTGTAGAATTACATCCACTTTTTGCTGATCAATGGTTTGTGGGTCCCTAACTAAAAAATAGTAAATGCAGATTTTATTTTTTACCTGCTTTTTTATAAAAGTGAACTCATCCTTCAAGAGATCCCGGAATACGGATCACTCTTCAGATAGCGTTAACTAGCCCTTAGACTAGGCTCACATTTCTGTGAGGGAAGAATGTGCATGAAATCACACGCTCCCAACCTGCAGAGAAATGCGCTACACTTTCAGACACGTGGTGGTGCCATTAATTCTTAATGGCACCCCCCCACATGTCAGCAGCCGAAGTGCAATTTCGTGCACACTAAACCACATGGTGCTATAGCACCACGCGATTCAGTGCAGAGTGATGTCTAAAACGAAGTTTATATGGACTTCTTTCCATGCATTTCTCACAGGTAGGGCAGTCCATAAAATGATTGGACTGCTGTACCCATGACGTGAACACACTAAAACTCTTGCACATATGTCAATGGAGCCTTAATGTTAGTAGGAAGTTATATGATTGCGTCAAGCGACTGAGAGCTCTTATGGCTAATCTACAACTTCTATAATTAAAACAATTGCAAAAAAATTAATGTGAAAACATAAAAATCTGAAATTCATACCCTTTAAGGTAAACACTGCAATAATAATTTGTATCTTTTTACTCCCTGAAAAATTTACTTTGCTTTAACTTGGTGCTTTTCTTAGAAGGGGAATGTCTCTTTGCAAAAAAGAAATACAATGCTGGAGAGTGTGCCACCTGGTGCTTGCTGGAATTGATTGCCTGTTCACCTTGCAAAAGCAGAACTAATCTATTTCTAGCAAGATGGAATGATCATGCTTTCCTCATCCAGATTTTTTTACTTTGTGAAGCATTTTAAAAATGCCTTTTTTTTTTTTCCTCTTGTATGTGACAGATTTGTTATACTCACTATTGTATGTCAGTCTACAATATATGGTTTAAAGGAAGCTTGTCTTGGAAGAGGCCTTTCTCGGTGCCTGCCTTTGTTGATCTCTTTAAAATGCTGGTTGCCTATCCGATGGACATGACTCTCTTACTTCCATATTTTAAGAGACTGACCTGTAACAAGCATACAGATAAAGACTTCTGACTTATCTCCTACTATTTTGATCTGCAAACGTTTCCACGTCAGTGATTTCATATAGTATCAAAGCTGGTGGAAAAGTCTTAAAGCCAGACAACTAGCATTTTCAGAAGGTCGATAATGCCAATCACCATATTTCTGTCATGACCGCATTATAGAAAGCAGTGTTGGAAATATTGTAAAATATAACTGGATGATTAGACTTTGGAATTCTAATACAAGAGTGATAAGAAAAATCATTGACAAGGTTTTGTGTTTGATGCAGGAATAAGCTGGCATCTCAGAGAATGCGCTATAACAGGGATCTGGAACAGGATGAAGCTTTCATACCAGCTGGAGAATCCCTGAAAGCTCTCATTGACCTGTCACAAAGTTCTGGCAGTGGATCAGGGCTTCCACTTTTGGTAAGTTAGTTCACATTAAACTTTACTACATTTCATGACGATTAGTGAGATATGTAGAGACATTTTCTTGTATTTTGCCTTTCAGGTCCAGAGAACCATTGCTAAACAGATCCAGATGGTGAGACAGATTGGAAAGGGAAGATATGGAGAGGTTTGGATGGGAAAATGGAGGGGTGAAAAGGTAGCCGTCAAAGTCTTTTTTACAGCTGAGGAAGCCAGCTGGTTCAGAGAGACTGAAATTTACCAAACTGTGTTAATGCGGCATGAGAATATTCTTGGTAAGTGTATTTGCATTTCCTTGGGAAATATATAGTTTGTAATAGGGCAGTAGCAAACAGTTGCAATCGGCCAAAATGGAGTTATGAAATATCCACGATGAGTTCATTGCTCACAGTTCCACCAGATTTATATCAGGACTCTGTTGTCCATCAAAAATTGTCATGACCTTGCTGTCCAGTAACCTTCAGGATACTGCTATCCACCAAATTTGTGTTAAGCAATTTTAACATTCCTGTGATATACATTAAACATTCTATGTAGCGTTTTAATGTATCATTTTTTTCAAAGCATTTTTTTAGCATTAATGTGTCCAGCCAAATCTTTGTTTTGGATAGAGTGGGGAAGGATAACTCCTGTCTGGTTTTTATGGCTATCCCGGGGTCATTTAAAGAGATTTAGCCTTACTTCCTGTCCTGTTGCCAGCGGGTTCACCAGACAGGAAGTAAGTGAAGATCTGCAACAGGGACACAAACAAGATAAAACTTTACAGGGGTTCTAGCCCTCCCCACTCTACTAAATAAAAGCATTTTATTGCTGTTTGTGTTGCCGTTTTTCTCACTTTGTCTCATAAAATATCAGCAAGACAGGAGGTAAATCTTTCTAACATATAGCCATGAAAATCTAAAAGGGGTGGCTGGACACTTTTGAACTGTTTTATTGGTACTACGCAGTGCCTCCTGTAAAGAAATAATTTTCTATCAGTCTTGTCTGCTGTTGGTAAACTGTTCTTTGTCCCAACAGGTTTCATAGCTGCTGATATTAAAGGGACAGGCTCCTGGACACAAATGTATCTGATAACAGAATATCATGAAAATGGATCTTTGTATGATTTTCTCAAGTGTGCTACTCTGGATACAAGATCTCTCCTCAAGCTGGCTTACTCTGCTGCCTGTGGCTTGTGTCACCTCCACACAGAGATATATGGTACTCAGGGAAAACCAGCAATCGCACACAGAGACCTGAAAAGCAAAAACATCCTTATCAAGGAAAACTGGACATGCTGCATTGCTGACCTAGGACTGGCAGTCAAATTTAACAGGTAATGGGCTGATAATTAACAGTAGTTACAGTGCAAACAGTACTTGGCAAGTCGTATAACCGCTTCTTATAAAGGAGGGAGATGTGGTACTGAATTCTTAAACTGCCCTAAGTTAGTAAAATTTTTACAATTAAATATCTCATAGCAACCATTTAAAATTGACTTTCAAATTGATGATTGCTACATTGATAACCAATGAAAATTATTGCTGTGCTATATTTTATATTATTGCCTTTTTACATTTTTTGCCTAATAAATAAAATTAATAAAGTTGTCGTAGAGAAATTTAAGGAAAACTTTTTTTTCTTTCACGAAGTGACACCCATGAAGTGGATATTCCCTTGAACACACGTGTAGGCACAAAACGCTACATGGCACCTGAAGTTCTGGATGAAAGTTTGAATAAGAACCACTTCCAAGCCTACATAATGGCAGACATATATAGCTTTAGCTTAATCATTTGGGAAATGACCCGACGCTGCATCACTGGTGGTAAGGCAATCATATTATATAGTACCTCATTTCACTGTTTTTAGGTTATACCTGTCATTGGAAAAGTAGAAGGGTAGCCATTGCTGGGCTATTTCTGAAAATACTAGTGGTCTGGCAGTGTTTGAGACCAGTGTTAGATTCAGAATACAAATGCTTGTCTGAAATCCTTATCTCTTAAAACTGTTCCAGATCAGTGCTTCAGAAAGTATTGAAGCCCATGCATTAGCCAGAAGGCCAGGGGAATAGAATTATCATTAGGAGGTATACTTCATGCAGCTTATTGATTGTAAGGTGTTGCAGATCACCAGCTTTATTGGGTATGACTTGTAACACACTAAAAAGTATTGCATATTTTTTTGTTTTTTTTATGTTTACCGTAATTTGTAAATACAGCCATCCTTCTGTCCTTACGAATTACTCTAAGTCTATAAAACAAGTGCAAGTCGTATAGAATATGAATGTTTGGGGTTTTTGTGTGTATGTGTAATAATTTTTTCTTCAGTAAATGTTTATTACTTTTTAGAGTATTTTTCAGCTCCAGAAAGATAAACACAGAGTATCTGAGCCCCACAAATGTTTTAGTATTAGGTGCTTGATGTTGTACAGAATTAGCAAACAAAATCAAAACTATAGCAACTATATTAACATTTACAGTAGTGGGAGCAAGAGCAACTGAGGTGTGCAACTGCAGCCACTGAACTTTGAAAACAAGTTGGGCAGAAGCTAGAAATAATGACTCTGGACGCCCATAACCACAGGGAAAGAGAAGCAAGGGAAGAAGGGTAAAGGGGGGGGGGGTGTATATGGCTTTTGGAGATACCTGTATGTCACAGCACTGTTGCCATCTCAGGGCACTCTAACTTTTTTTTATATGCTTGATAGTTCCTTTTTACAAAAATAAATCTACTTTCTTTAGTTAGTAATTTGAAGAGGACTTTTCACCTTAGGTAACTAACACTTTTCACACACTCCTCTTGATAACATTTACTGCAAACATCATCTAAACCAAAGCAATATAATGCATATATTTTAATTGTGTTCATTTTTTCTGTAACTTTTATTAGGTATTGTTGAAGAGTATCAGTTGCCATATTATGATATGGTGCCAAGTGATCCATCCTTTGAAGACATGCGAGAAGTTGTGTGCATAAAGTGTTTACGTCCCACGGTGTCCAATAGGTGGAACAGTGATGAGGTAGGTGGCTGTGTGATCGTTTATCTGTTATACTTTAAGGGTAATATAATTGCGTGGAACTTGCATTTCAGTTGTGATATTGAACAACTGAAAGTGACCTTTTGTTAGCCATGGAATCCTGAGAAGTTGGCTCAGCGTCCTAACCCTCAGGGCTCATTCACACAGGTGTCAAAAACACTGCGTAGAGAACATAGTTTTTGTACATAGCGGTAAAGAAGGCTTGTAGGCAAAGGCTATTAGTTGTTCAAAGTCTATATTTGGGCCATATTTTATGCTGTAAACATGTAATCAGTTGGGCTTACCCATATTTATATGAACAGGCACGGTGTAAATGGACCCTACTAGCCGCTAGTGCTCAGAGCTGAAATGTAAATATCAGAAATGAGTAGCCAGTGGCAACACCACCGCTGATTACACACTATTATTGTTTACATCTCCCTTTGAATTAGTCATTTTTTGTAGTCATTCAGAAATAGCTAATGTTGTTCTGTGCATGCGCTGGTGTTGCATGATAGACTTATTCAGGGGTAGATGAAGACATCAGTAGTGTATAATCTGTGTCACTGCTACATATGATATTTTCATATTGGTGCAAAGCAGTGGTGGGGGCCAGTAAAGTCTAGGTATGTATGTAAACGTTGGCACATACGTTACATGCATACAACATATAGACAACTCCCAGCAAAATCCTGCGTAAATCAATACAGCCTTGTGAATGAGTTACAGTATTCATGAGAGGGCCTGAGGCTCATCTTTTAACTTGTATCTGCTTTCTGCAGACTGACTCTAATTTCTGTGCATCTTTATGCTAACTGATCTGAATATATTATATAAATAAAACATAATAAGACTAGAGCTGCTGCTAAGATGTTTTGCTTGTCTTTGATTGGATGACCAAATGAATTACAACGCTGACAACTGTCAAAACATTCACATATATTCTCTTCATTGCAGTTTTTTTTTTCCTGCGTCATGATTGGTTGCCTATATGTTGAGACATTTATTTATGCTTTTTTTCCCTTTTTGGAGTAATTTTAACATATTTATTTGCTTTCTCCATCTTCAGTGCTTGAGAGCAATCTTGAAACTGATGGCTGAGTGTTGGGCTACAAATCCTGCTTCCCGTCTAACGGCCCTGCGAATCAAAAAGACGCTTGCAAAGATGGTAGAGGCTCAAGATGTAAAGATATGACAATGGGAATGTTGGCTCCAGCACTAAGACTCTGAATAGAGGGAGTAGGGTGTATGTAGAGGAGGTAACCTCCCCTGTGGCACTCTGCAGGCTGCTAAATAATGACTTTATTCAGTACTGTGTGTATATGGTGCAGAATGCATCTTCTCTTCATTGGGAGCTTCTGTGTACATCAGAACAGAAATATTTTTCTTTATATTCTATCAAGACTTTTATCACAGTATAATGGGTAATGAATTGCATGTTCAGATTATTTTGCTTTCCGTGAAAGCAGCATCCATATAAAATCCATACTTTGTTGTTTTTTTGTTTTGTTTTTTTTTTTTTTTTTTATTTTCAGAAGAAACATGTTATTGTATTGCCTTTATAACATTTATATGGAAACTAAAATCTCTGTGCCAGATTATCATTTTTTGCCATGTTTTAAGCTATCCTATTTTTTTTAAAACATCTTTGTTTACCCCTTAAAATATCAAATCAATTTAGGAGCAAGTGGTCTTCATCAAAGAAAACTGAACCACAGGGATGTTTTCTGAGAATTTTCTACAACATGGACATTTGTTTTTATTCTTTTGAGTACCACCCTAATATGTACAGACCTCATATGTTCAATTCCTATAATATGAATAACTGATGAAGAAGACTTATTGGAGAAGAATGGATTCCTTGTATGAGCTGGAGTGGGAAGTTTTGTTGAAACAATGAAATATCTGAAATGTTTGTGTATAAAATTGTCACTTTTATGCTGCTGTTGTAAGGATTAACAGACTGTTCATATTCTGTGTAACATTATGGGCCCATTCACACCATGTGTTGCGTTGACATCCGTGTTTTTTTGCATTGAGGCATGCTGCATTAAGGTATCCCATTTACTTTGAATGTGCTGGCTGCGCACCTCAATGCAAGAAAGTACATACCTGTTCCATTTTTATTTTCAAGCAGTGCACCAGAACAAATATATGGCTCACAACCATGTGCAAATGCAACACTGATCTGAATGAACCCTAAAGGATGTACGTCCAGCCCAGACTTTTTTAAAATGGTAATTCATTTGTGAGGTGGCTTTTGAGCCGCTGTGTTGCTTTTGTTGCTGTCAGTATTCCTGCTGAGATTCCTTCTCGCTTCCTGTTCTGGTGATCACTGAAACAGGAAGTGAAGATAGTCTCCCTAATGCAACAATAAAAAGCTGACAGAGGTTCCAGCCCTACTTTATTGAAAACAGATGTTTTTATTGCTTTTGGAGTCCCCAGTGGAGAGATGTCTTGTCTTAGTGACCAACATCTTTGTGACAAGAACTGAAAGTAAATCTCCTCAGTGAGGACACAGGCATCAATAAAAACAGAGGGTCTAGCCCTAACAATCCTTTTTTTCACAACTGAACAGAGTTTAAGCTGGAAAATTTAAAAAAAAACAAAAAACATGTTTTTCATTTTGTGCCAATAACACTACTTAATTTATATTAGGCCAAACCATTCAAATTTTTTTTGTACTTTAAGATTTCGTCATTTCAAAATGTTTTATTGTCTGCCAAACTAGATTGTTTTTACCTTTTGAATTAAAGCAGTCGTAAACTACTAGAATAAAAAGGGTGATGATCTAAACCATAATGTGCTATTATTCACCGCATACTAGCACATCATGGCAGACTCACTTTAAAGCCAAGCCCTCCAGCTGTGCGCTGTCACTGCTGACAGGGCCTCCATCTTAACCTGGTCTTCCTGCTGGGCTCCAGCCGTTTGGATGGCCGAGCCAGCTGAGGCAGAGCACTCTGAATTGATGGCTTACTCAGTGTGGTGTCAATTCAGAGTGCAGTGCGCATGCGCTAATGATGTCACTGTCTGCTTCCAGTGTGAATATTTAGGAGGCGTTCACTGTGCCTACAGGTAAGCCTTATTATAGGCGTACCTGTAAGTATAAGTTCAGTAGGGGAGTTAACTATCGCTTTACGATAGCAATTGAATAAAGCATATCCTCTTGCCCTCCAGAAGATTTAACCCCCCCCCCCCCCCCACCATTTTTTGCAGTAAGGCGCTGCGCTACTTTAACTGACAATAATGCGGTCCTGCCACGCTGTAGATAAATTAAATTTGTAATTTTTCCCCACAAATAGAGCTTTATTTTAGTGGTGTTTGATCACCTCTGCGGATTAAATTTTTTTGCGTCATAACTGAAAAACACTGACATTTAAAAAAACAAATATACGTGTGTGTGTGTATATATATATGTATGTATGTATATGTATGTATATATATATATATGTATATATATATGTGTGTGTATATATATATGTACATATATATATATATATATATATATATATGTGTGTGTATGTATATATATATATATATATGTGTATATATGTGTGTGTATATATATATATATTATAGATATCATGTCTTCATAAATTTATGCCAAAATGTATTCTGCTACATATTTTTGTAAAAAAAAAAAAAAATAAGCGTATACTGACTGGTTTGTGCCAAAGTTATAGGGTCTACAAATAGCGATTTATATATACTGGAATTTTTTTTGTTTTATTTTTAAATACTAGTAATGATGCTGATCAGTGACTTATAGCAGGACTGCGATATTGTGGCGGACAGTCAGACACTAATTGACACTTTGTGGGAACCAGTGTCAGTGATACAGTGATCAGTACTAAAAATATACACTGTCACTGTATTAATGACACTGGCTGGGAAGGGGTTAAACATTTAGGGCGATCAAAGGATTAATTGTGTGCCTAGCTAGTGTTTGTGGCCACTGTGTACTGTTTTTACTAGGCAATCTGCTAGATTTTATTCCCTGAATAAAACCTAGCAGATTGCTGTTGACATAACACAGCTCTGCTTTGTTTATATAATCAGAGCTGTGTTATGGCCTAGGCAATCCACATGTGCCAGTGCTAATCTATTGGCCAGCACCTGTTGATTGACTTCTGCTGTGTCCAATCACAGCAGAAGCAGTGCTTCAGCAGCAGGCACATGCCCCCCTGTGGTGGAAATGCAAAATTACGTTTATGTGATTTTGCACCGAACGCCCACTCTGTAGCTGCTGCTACGGAGGTCAAGTGCCCACTCTGTAGCTGTGAACCATCTGTACTGTATAAATGGCGGAGGTATTGTGAAAGTCACATTCACTGCTTTATAAATATAGCCCATATTGCCAAAATGATGTGCTAGATGTGCTAGATGTTGGATAGTCCAGACACAAACCATGAATTTTGGGAACACTTGTAACTCAGAATTAGGCAATGTGAGAGGCAGGTACACATGTTTTTAGCAGGCTATGGAAATGCTAAATGGTGGATTTGTAAAATATGCCAGCTAGAAAAGGTTATGCACACAGATTGTCTTAAGGTAAACTCCAGTTTTGGGAAACAGATATATATTCATAAGGCTTTATTTACCAGACATGTATTTTCTGCAGGTTCTTGTTGGCAGAGCTAAAAGAAAATCCTTTGTAAAATATGTGCCTCAAGTACAGTTCTCCTTATGGCTTATGTATGTGTATGTGCATACCCAGCAAAAAATCTGCAGATCTGTGCAAGCAGCTCTGTCATTTTTTTTTTTTTTTTTTTTTTTTTTTTTTAATGCAGTGCACAAACTAATCATTTGTGCACACAGCTCTGTGTATAGCGTCATTGATTTATAGTGCTGCGTTTAGATTTCTACAAAACTGTGCGCTATACGCATCTAAACACTGTGGTTTAGGCTCTCCTGTGAATGAGCCCTTAAGCAACACAAGCCATGTTTTATATAAGATATTTTGAGTTCATTGTGCAGTGAGCCCTGATTTATGTCTACAATAGTTTCTCCACAGTGACAGTTCTCAAATTTGTGGATAGGGTTTCCAAAATGATTTATTTCACTCTCTTGCCCCTTTTTACATATTTGCAGAGAGCTGGAGGTCACATTCTATTCAGCTCTCTGGTATTGTCCTAAGGTTTTATTCACATGAAGCTTCATCTTCACCAATATGTACAGAGCAGAGAATAGAAGATTTAATGGTTAACTAAACCCAAGAATAAAAATATAATATTTCATCTTACTAGTCATTAGATGTGGTGGCTTCATTGGTTTATTTTAAGAGGGTAAGAACATTTCCAGCCACTACAGAAATACCAATTGATCTTGGTGGAAATGCAGTGTCCTTGTCACAGGTTTACCAGGTAAAGATAAAACCTGAAAAATGTCAACTGATTCAGCCACCACATCTAAAGACTGGCAAGCTACAGTTTTCTACATTTTTGGTTTGAGTTAAAGTTTTGAAATACCAATTGCAGTCTGTGCTGTTTAACAAAACTGGAGTTTCATGTTCAGCATCCAAGTATATTACAGGCAAATGCTTGTTTAATTTTGGAACTAAAATACGCTAGACATGTGGCTTAGCAATTTGGCATTGAAACAGATGTAAACCCATCCACTTTTGTTAAAATCTGATAAAAGCTTTTAACGTGTATCTGTGGTCAACATTTATATCCTATATTCATTTTCATATTGAATCTCAATTTCACGTAACCTATGCATCTGAATGATCTTTGAAGTTTAAAAATTAGTTTTTGATTTGAATTCTGTGACACATGTTCACTATGCCCAGTGAGTAGTCACTGATGGCACACATTTCACAGAGCCTTCTTTCTGAACTTCAGAGGTGATGAGAGAAGGAGTTTCAGGAAGCTGTCAGCACAGGAATCAATGCTTACAGCCAGCAAGGTGCCATGGGATATGTAGTCCTTAGAAATAAAAAAATAAATCAAAGGAATGAGCAGAGGAGAAGCTGTGAAGCATGCAGGAAGCTGTCACAACATGGAAGGAGTTTTTTTTTCAATAAACACGTATTGGAAAGTCAGAAATGGCTATTTATACTGCTTACAAAATGAAATGGAAGTGTATGCTGAAACTAAATATCTCCTTTATTATTGTCATTTCAAAAGATGTATTTGATCGTCATATCAACCGATTTTATAAATATCTGGTGATTCTGCCATGAAGGTCTTT